CCGAATCACAGTCTCCGAGATTAAGAAGACTTCTCCGATCTATCGCTGAAAACCGCCGCTGAGGAAATCTGGCTGCAGCATCCGCAGGAAGAAGAATTGAATTTTGATGCGTCTAACAAAATATAAACTGATATGCAACTCTGCTCATCCCAAGCTGCCGAAAAGCCCAGGAGTTGTTGATATCAGAGACTGGCTGGAAGTTTCGGAAAGCCATTAGTGCTCAACACCAACCAGCTAAGCAACTTGCCTAGTGATCCAAGTAGTTATGCCGACAAAGGCTTGGTGGGGTCCCCACCTCTGACAGTCGACTGGTTAATCTATCGAAAAATGGTGGAAGAACTGCATTGAGAGAAAGATAAAGAAACGATGGTCTTCTGAAACTGGATAAATGCAAGCACTCCACAAGTGGCAGACATTGCCGGCTGTTGTCTATACATTCCTGTGAATTCGGTGGATTCTGAACGGAGCGTTAGTGCATCACAGCCATTCCGACGACAGCACGAAGCACCTTGTCAGGCCTAACTGTACTTCCTCGGTTTTGAATCATAACTGGCACGTACGTAATGGATGAATGTGCTTGGGTTTTGCTTACTTTAGTCTTCGCAGGAGAAGCAGAGAATTTTATGTTAGCGCCGCAGAAAATTTGCGGAATTTTCGGATTTTGATCGCGGAAGAAATGTTTTACCTCCGCAGAAAATTAGCATCATTAGTAATAACGAAAAATGAGCAAGACACAAGCGCCGTACATACATAGTTGTTCAAAGTCTACATCCCATATGGAAGATCAAGGTGGAAGCCTACTTCCCATGGAGATTGAAAAATAATAACCTCCGATGAGGCCGAAGACACTACTAGAGACCACAAGCAACATTGTTATTCGAAGGGAGTGAACCAATAATCGACTTCAAATGAGTGACGTCAGACAGTTTCAGGGTATCGTAGATACAGCCGATGTAGTGCTGCACAATTCCGGAGGGTCAGAGTTACAGTGAACTTAATGCAATGAAAGATGAATCAACAAGGGGTTCCCGTTATTGGACAAAGGTTAGTGGGTGTTAAAATGCATGGATAGTTTAACTTTGGCACTAAAGTGAAGAACAACATCCATGCCTACCAGCACGGTGGAACATGAGTCTGTCAAGAGGTGGACATGAGCCCGTGGATATCCGGAAAGTGCTATCCAACCCAAGGACATCAATCGCTTATGCTCACATTCCTGACGATAACAAACAGTCAAAAATGCTGCGGCACATTCAAAGACGCAAGCTACATTCATACACAATTACATACGTATATACACCCATACACTTACATACACTGTTATGCCAAACATGTACTTTTGTACATTTTTGTTCACACTGTTAGCTAAACATGATCATGCCTGTAAAGGTGTGTCTCGCAAGGTCGAGAATAAAAGTTTATTTATTTATAAGCCACATGCGTATTGGAGACCCCGCTCTCATCAAAACAGATTAGAAATGAACCATCGTTGTAAAAAGCAAAATCACTTTCATCATCTGCGTAGGGGCGGGCGTCTCGATTTAAACTCAGCCCATTATACACGTTAGCTGCAGGTGAAAAACATCTCCGCTATCGTGCCGCAATACAAAAGACAAGAAAAGGAAAACAAACAGTGGAACGTCGGCTGAGTCCCCAGTAATGGATGGACATTGCTCCGGAGAGCTAACAGTTGGCTACCGTGCCGTAAAAAGTCATATTACGTCTAACGAGTGAGATCGTGATTGGACGAGGATACTAAGCAGGCGGGAGATGGACAAAGCAACTCACAACACAAACGCCATTGGGGCCAGCTCCAAGCCATATCAGCAAGTGTGTCCAACCAAACGTGTTCACCATCCTTAAGACCCCAGCCAGGCCGTCAGGATGCACCAACCAACGCCAACTTCGAAGTGAGGGTTTTCATCTCTCTCGACCAAGTCATCACTTGGCCTCCCCTCCTCCTCTTCCAACCGCACCCACAACGCGCAAACAATGCACGTCGCGGGAGTCGGTGTGCTGGCATGCGCAACACGTGGCCCAGCCATCGGAGCCTGGTGCGTGATATAATGGTGCTGAGCGGTTTACTCGCTCTTCCTGCACCAAATACGCGACGTCGAACACGCTGATTGCTCACGCGGTGTTCCCACCAGACATGAGCTAAGCTGCGAAGGCAGCGATGATCGAATGTGGGGAGCCTCTTTATGTCTGTCGACCTGATGGGCCAGGTTTCACAGCCATATGGGAGAGTTGAACGGACGGCTGCGTTGTAAACTCTGCCCTTGAGGGCGAGAGTAATGTCGCGTCTGCGCCACAGGTGGCGAAGATTGGCAAAAGCGCCTCGAGCTTTTGCTATACGGTTCGTAACCTCATCTTCAATCCCACGGGTGCTAATATAGCTGCCCAGGTACTTGAATTCCTGAACGACTTCTAGCAGATCACCACCAAGCGTTAGCTTAGGGTTGGGTCCCTGCCAATCTTGGAGAAGTACTTTGCATTTCGATGGAGCAAAACATAGCCCAAAATGATTGACAGCCAGTGCTAATCGGTCCAGTGCTATTTGGCATGTTTGGGAGCTGTCACAGATTAGGTCAATATCGTCCGCATACTCTAAGTCAAGAAGTCGCTCACCAGGAAGTAGCTCAACACCTTCTAGTTCGTGTCCAGCGAACGCTGTTTCCATGACTTCATCAATAGCGAAGTTGAAGAGGAAAGGTGACAGCGGGCATCCTTGTCTCACACCGCTGGTGATACTGAAGGGTGGCGACAGTTTACCATAAACCCTCACCCTGCCCGAACTATGCACGTACAGCGCTTTGATAATGTTTACATGTTTATCAGGCACACCTTTCCTCAACAGACAGTCCCAAAGGGCACATCGATCGACTGAGTCGAAGGCACCTTTTATGTCAAGAAACATGACAACGTTGGGCATCACGACTTCTAGCAGATCACCACCAAGCGTTAGCTTAGGGTTGGGTCCCTGCCAATCTTGGAGAAGTAGTTTGCATTTCGATGGAGCAAAGCATAGCCCAAAACGATTGACAGCCAGTGCCCGAACGCGACTGGTGGTGGTCGCGCTGCAGCGAAGCGCCGTTACAGCGCTCAGTCTACACATTTTTTATTTTTATTTAAAGAGCAAACAGTGTGCAAACTCATAAACGTATCTTGGTCGATTCGCAGAGTAAAGATCAATGACTGCTTTTAAAGTTAGAGAAAAACTGGGGAACTGTGGACTGTACGGCTTACGCGTGAAGAAGTAGGAGTGTCCCATTAAATACTGCCATTTGTGCAGGATAACAACGCTCGTAAATTGGACACATCGGAAAAACTCGAGTGGCTAGCGCGCAATAGTCAAAGGTGGAATATACTTGATAGAAACTGACTGGTCCATCATGGTCACTGCGCACATTGCAGTAGATTCGCCTTCGCTTAACATAAGCTCTAAAGTTTGTCACAATAGATCAATGCGCAGACGGAGTCGGAAACCTGAGTATAAAAGATTGATAAAGCCTGCTTTAGTACAAAGTCACGAAAGGCTGATGGAAACAAGAGTGACTTCATCGTGGATATTGGAACACAAAGTCAGTCGGTTTCCCTTGAGAGATATAACTGGCGAGCAAGTGAAACCGTCATACAGGTCATGTGCGGAACTGACTGACCAGTGAAACAGTCCATGAAAGATGCAGCAGGATCAAGTCATCCTCGAAGTGCAAAAAATGAGTTTGACCGAAGAGGAGGAGGAGGAGCAAGAATAGTATGGTCAAAGACTGCTTGAAAGAATGCAGGTGACTAAATCTTGCTTCGCCACAGGCCACAGACAGCACAACGTATAATACAATCATGAGCAGTCGAGACGCATTTGTAGCATCGGGTAAGAGGAGGGGTAATACGCAAGAGGGACCCCGACCGCTTCACCTTCTAATATTTGGATAGATATGAATTAACACTGTTTCCTGACTAGCTATGCCGACAGACGCGTGTAGCAAATGGATAGCACAGTCCTCGATTCGCGGCTAACGGCCTTCAAGGCAAAGCAAAGGAGCACTAACTCCATAAACCAACTGTCTAGTAGTCAAAGACTTGCGTTATTGATCAGGATGCGATTGTGCATGACTGCAGACAGCCGACCAAACAGAAAGCGAGTAAAGTCAGTGCAATATAATACTGGAAATAAAAAGAAAATCCACATCACAGCAGTAGCAGTGAAAATACATAGGATGTACTAGGTGGGCTATGGACGCGGTTTCTGTTGTGAATGATAAAAACAAACGGATTTGTAAGGTGTGAAAAGTGAGAGCGCTGGATAGGCGATTGTGTTCAAGGCACTCGGAAAGAGTGCCATTGTGAAAAAGATGAAGGAGGAAACCAAACCCGGGTGCTGTGATCGGAAAAAAGCAAGTACTATTAAGGATAGGGTAAGGCGACTAAAACATTCTTAAAAGTTTGCGTTCGTTGAATCAATGGCAGACTCAGAATCGAGAGACAGTGGACCCAGTCGTGAATATGAGCGATGCCGCGAAAGCAAAAATCTACAGAATCGTATAAAGAGAAATAAGGCGAACAAATGTGTCAAGCAGACGGGAATAGCAAAACCTTCCATGTTCTCGGAACGAACGAAAGTCTACTGCTGAGAGATCACTATTGTGTTGGAGTATGTAGAACTGACGTTAATAGTTCCAGTGGTATGCAAACAAAGTGATGGAGGAATTGTGATGAACAGAAGATTTAAGTGTAGATGATGCTCTACGTAGGGGTAACGAAACCACAGAACAAGTAAGGAAATAGTTTAAGGTGTTCAAAACAAAAGAGGCAGCGCCAGGGAATCCAGGCTGTCCAGAGAGAATGAGGAAGGACAAGAAGGAAGCGGCAATTAGAAATGATGCCAGCACGCACGACTCACAGTCAACTGTGACATAAAAAACCTAGGTATTGGAACGATGGAGGAAGTACAAAATGAAATACCCGAATGAAAGTCACGTGAACTGTGATAACAAACAAACCTTCTTTGGGCAATGTGTCAAGTAAGGCGCGCTTCTCCGATGATTGTTGATCGGGTTGGACAGAGATTTGACTGTCATCCTTGGGAACACAAGTTTCATCAGAAGAACTGTTGCATGCTCCGGCACTCGCGGAAGCAGAATCAGGTATAGTTTTGTGTGAATCGCTGTGGGATTATAGAAAGAGAAACGATTATATTCTTTATCTGCGCCGTGAAAACAAGCAGGAACATGTAAGCACAGTAAGAATACATAGGTTGCTATGGGTACTCTTCTGGGACCTGTTCTGGCAGATATATTCTTGGGCATGATTGAAAAGAAAGTTGCTGCCTGCATAGGTGAAGCGAATTTTTACAAGCGTTATGTAGACGACCTTCTCGTTTTCAATGGTGAACATTTTAACCGTCTTTTTGCACTTCTGAATTCAAATCACCCTAACCTTTCCGTATCCCAGGAGAGGGAACAAGAGGACAGGCTGCCGTTTCAACAAGGGAAGGACCGATGGCACACTGCAGCGCACGGTACAGAAAAGTGACCAGAGGGGACAATACCTACATTTTTCCAGCATCCCCCTAGTTGCATACAAGCGCGGTCTCGTAAAAACTCTTGTCTACAGGGACAGGCGAATTTGCAGTCCGGAACTGCTTAAGGCTGAAGAAGAGTTTTTATACCGGACTCAGTTATCCAATGGATATCCAGAGAAATTCATTCAGACCCATAACAGACCTCCTAAGGAGAAACTGCTAGTATAAACAGCGGAGAAGAAGGATGTTTATTTTCTCTTACATTTCAAGGGGGATCATGTGACAAATGATGTTGATCATAAGCCCAGGTCCACTCTAATGCGCACGTACTCTACCGCTCAACAACGACTTACCACACTACATGAAGGATTCCTCTCCCCAGCCGTCCGAGTAGCTTGCCAATCAGTTCGGTCCGTAACATCATCAACCCCTTTCACTTGCAGTTATGGTGGCAGTTACATTGACAGGACTGGACGCCAGCTTGCTCAAAGGGTGGTTGAACACTTCTCATTGTGGCTAAGGCAGTTGCTGTCTCACCAAGGCGAAGCGGATCGAAGAATGAACTGGAACCCTGCCTCGTCTATCACAAAGTACCTAATGACGACTGGTCACCAGGTGAACCAATTCGATTCATTCAAAGTGCTGTTGCGCAACTGGAACCTGAAGTTGTTGGCAAGTGGCGAGACGCTACTGATAAGGTTGAATTGGCCCGCGTTCCGCACCCAGAAACAACTGAGGCAATCAATTACATTGCTCGGGACCTGATTATGTCATTCACATATTCTATGGCGGCGCAAGAACGAACAAATTCTGATGGGCTCCCACCAACTCTTAGCCGGTGTACCATGGTATTGTCAGAACACGCGACACTGGTCAGTAGTGTGCATCGGCAAGGTGAACAGAAAACCGGACAAGGCAATTGCTAATAGCACAAAACTGCTGTGTGTCATAGTCGGAATATGTGTGATTTTATAGCAGGTGGATTTTTCACAGGTGTTGTACGTTGTGTGGGTCAGGTAATAAGAACAATGTTCAGTTACTCAAAATAAACACAAGATTTGTGGGTTTTGGTGAAAACATGCCAACTCTGTATATACCCACATGTAGTCAGTTGTATACTCGATTCGAAACATGTAACTTATTCACTTTGTGTGACACAGTAACAAGTTTCGAACACAGTTACGTGACGATGTCTGCCTCCGGTTTCCCAAAAACGGACTGACAAATTTTGTGTACGCAGACGACATAGGCCCTGTTGGGTCTGACGCACTGACTGTGCAAACAATACTGGATAGACTATCGCGTAGCGCTGCACGGTTCGGCATGAACTACAAAGCGAAACGTGCTGTTGCAGGGCTGGGCCAGCATACCTCCGGTTTTAGCTATTTTCGAACAGCCACTGGAAGTGGTGGATCCGTTCACATACCTTGGTCGCGGTGTCACCTCTGGTGGTCACATCATATTTGGAGGCGGTGGGATATCAACTTGTCAGTGGAAGGTAGGGTGCATTAAGCTGCGGTAAGGCCAGTTTTTCTGTATGGATCAGAGACCGGGCCAGACCATGGCGAAGACATTAAACACTTAGTCGTGTCTGACTACCGTTGTTTGCGGAGTATTGCTAACCTCTGGTGGGAACACCGGGTGAGCAATGCTGAGGTCCATCAGTCGGTTTTTGGCAAGAAGCCTTCCGGTTTACCTCTTAACTGTTTGCTATATCTTAATTTTTTGTGTTGGCTAGGCCATGTGCTCCGTATGCTTCTTCGGGGTGCATTATATGCCGTGACCGTAACAAGTTGGGCGAAACCGCGAGAAGGCCGTTCCATGACGTGGCATAGTGGCAAAAAGAAATTGACTGAAAAACTTGATCAGGTTGATACGTGCCGTCTTCGTGGATAGGGGTGTCGGGGCGGTCCACACCAGTGGTTGGAGATCGTGTCAGACACGGCACAGTCACGAAGTATGTCGTGTTTCTGCATTCGGTTTATTTCATCTGATTGTTAATCATCGTTCCATTCTGATCAGTCGAATACATTTCATGCGTGTTTTCATTTTCTCTACAATATATTTGCACCCCACCCCACTATCCTTTCGGTGTTAATTATTTTTACCCTTACAGTGTGAGTCATGGCAACTGGATCGACCGCACTTCGGTGTTCGGATCATAGTAGATCAAACGAAAGGTACTGACCTGAACCCAATACGTGTGTTGCGGAAACAGATTACACAAACACCACCCGAGAGTCGGGGTGACAAGTACCATACAATGAGGATCATTGATGGAAGGCGTAATGTCAACTGAGACCCTTGGTGCAAGAAAAATATTGAGTAAACTGTGGGTACATATTGCTGAGTGATTGAAATTTTGTGTTAGTCATAATCGAGGTCAGATGCATGTAAAGTAGGCGAAAGGGAGAAAGTATGGAAGAAATTAGCAACGGAAAGCCGCGTGTGGATGACACTCCTTAACTGAAAACGATAGCAGAGGGATTTTGACTAACGTCATCTATTCCACGAGAAATGACGTGATAAAGTTCTTCAGGAGTCAAGTGGAGAAGAGATGTATTCATTTATAGTTGAAAAGTCGAGAAGCAAACCATAGGACCAGCGTTGGTAAAAATTACAGTGGCCGCAAGAAAGAAGACGGATAGGAAAAACGGCCCACTCGTGTAGATGGGGATTATGTCGAGCTATTAAAACGAGGTATAAGTTAATACAGCTGAACCATATTTCGTGCCATACTCTTAACTGCTTCAAACCATCGGTGCTCTTAAACCTTAGATGTACAATCTGTGACTGTCGTAAACAGGTGTGCGTCTAGGTGTACATCGCGTAAAATAGGAGATAGTCAGTTTAAGGAATGCGGGAACAAGTTATTGAACGACAGACACATTGTCGAAGACATGTGGCGCTAGTGCTTTATACTAATTTGGCTGAGAGAATAAGATGGTATCTGTCACAGCAACCGTAAGGCAGTGGAACTATCCACTAATTTCGGAAAATGGTGAATTGCTAGTGCCAATTCTTTCTGAAAAGTGAAATCTAGTGAAGCAGAACTGATCGCGATCTGTCAGGGCGATAAGAGGATATGAAAAATGCGCTGTGGATGAAGTTTGTACTTTTGAGAAGCCGCGTCTCTAGATTCAGTCAGACAACCACCACATATCCAGGAAAGCAGCAGACGACCGTTTCGTACTAATGGGACTCGTCAGTAGTGCGTACCCGCCGAATCCTATCGGATTCGAACCCACGACCTTACTGTTGCGAGAGATCGACTTTGCCACTGAGCCAAGGGTAAGGTAGGCGGATCGCCATAACTGATATCTAACTGCGACATAGCTCAACCTATCGTCAACCGTTATGCAAGTTAGAAATGTGCAGAACACAGGGTTGGCCCAAAAGAAACGACTTCGTTTGCATGTTTATGTGGATTGCGTACCACAGGAGCAGCTCGTGATTGGCGATGAACGCAGTGCATTGTTCTGAGTCCTGGTTGAGTATACTAAAGGATTATAAGGAAGTTGTTGCCGTCACAACTGAGAGAATGTGTATCCAAAGTGTACAGGGGTCAATATCGTCGAAAACTGATGGGGCTTACGTGGACATTTAACCCTAAGGAGAAGAAAACACACGCGTGCAAAGCTGTTAGCCAAATTGGGAATAAAAAGGACCATGCAGTGAAAAATGGAAGCAAACATCTTGGTGGAAGACCGCTCCATGACGGTTTACTAGGACATAGAGGAAAGTTCATTTTATAATGATAACTTTGTACACAGAACAAGTATAGAGTAATATGAAAACCGCTAGCTTAAACGATTTCAAAGATTCTGAGGACGGAAAGTGTGATAATGAACAACCCGAAGAGCCCGATGTAACAAAGCTGGGTAAAAGGAAAAATGCCTTGACCATGAGTGAAACAAACAATGGCGCAGTCCGAGAGAGTAATGGATGGATGCGGACAGTTAAGTATACCATCATCCCAGCGTGAGACGGCGTCGTGAGCGGATACCCACTTGCTATGATGCGACAACCGTTTGCTAGTCATTAGTAACCAAAACTTCGCCCTCACAACATTAAGATGCTAAGCGTACATAGTTGCTGCCAGTGGAATTTGTTATCTCTGGAAAGCTAACCACTGTGCTCTGCAATGATAGTAACCTGCATGACAGTGGAACATGTGTCGCTTCATATCTTGGTTAGCTCGCATGTTATAATGGTCTACCACCGTGCCACATGGCTCAGCGTCAAGCTGCTAGCGGTTATGGATTCGGTTCCCTGAAGGGGACCGAGGAAATGCACTCCACTGACGAACCGTATCAGCGCGAAAACAATGATTGAGGTGCTTTTCCGAATTGGTTGTAAGATTTTCGAGTTCCTAAATTAATGGGATGAGTCGCAAAAAGATTTCTCTTGAGCTGCCATTTATTGACACAGAGAATTTACATTTCTTGAGAATCCATAGTTACGCCACGTTGAACACCCGCCTTCATCACGTAGGTTACGGTCAACATGCCCTTGGCTTGTCTATAATCAATTTCGGCCTTTTGATAGTGTTCTAGAAAATGAGTATCCTTAGAGAGTCGCCTCATGGAAAGCATCCCTAAAAGGTTTCTAAGCCTGACAGTGATCGATTTACGATTCTAGCGCTGAACGATGGCGTAAGTGGATGCGGTCCAGTTTAGAGTGAGATACACTAGTCTACTCGGAGAGGAGAGTTGCGGCACAAGACGCAAGCACAGTCATTACACGTGATGAATGGAAAAAGCCGAAACAGTGTACAACAAACGTGGATACTTGGAAAACGAATGATTTATGAAATCAAAATGAATTCACGTGAGCTAAAAGCTGGGTAATACCAAGGTGAATTTTGCTCCTCGGTGTCTTCGGATGGCGTCTCGAGGACCAGTGTCAGAGAAGGGTGATAAGCATGCGCTGTGAAATGAGGGAGGAAAGAGGAACAAGACAAATATGCCCCGTGACAACTGGAGTAAGGAGAATGGTTCTATAAACATTGATGCGAAGTGGTGAAGTCGGAGTGATTTAAACAGTGGGATACAGCGGAACAGTCCACATGTATATAGTTGTGATGACAAACAAATGCAAAAGACGCGATAGAGTAGTAAGGACGGTGAATGGTGGTAGACATCGTGTAGGAGTGAAACTCGTCTACTGTCGAACAGATGATGATGGCAAAAGAAGATGGAACAGACAAAGCATGAAAGAACGACAAGATATCAAGTGCAACAATTAGGTTATGGGAGTGAAAAATCGATTTAACGAGATAACGAGAAAAAAAGATACCGAGCAAGTGCACAACCGACTGTAGTCGATAAGCAGCAATCGCTTCAAACATAGGAAGCATCCATAATAAAATGCATGAAGGTTGCGACGGGGAGGAGGAGCGGAAATTAACATCCATAGTTAGAGCTCCGGCAAATCAGACAGTCTGAAAATCATCCACAGGAAAAATAAGCTCCAAAAAAAGTTTTAAAATGGATTGATACGGAACGGGTAGCAATGCACTGCGAGTCAATCAACATGAAAATGTAATACAGTCTAACCAGCACTGGGAGCCAGTAAAAGACACAAGCAACGCTTACGCGTCGGCATTAACCAGTGTATCGTGTCCAGCTGCACAACGCAACGACCATTACGTTGTTGTGCTGCCCAGGCATTCGAGCATTTCCAAACGCACAACGCTGTGTTTGGTAAACTAGCTGACAAAGCGGTGATTCAGATGTGTGCTGCATCACACTAGACAGCAAAATCTCCCGAAATATGTTCTGGTTACGCAGCTCAATGCATTTTCTAATTTAAATGAAACTTAATCAGAGCGACCTCGGAGCAAATATTTCTGTCAGTGAAGGAAAGTGCTTAGGTGTAAAAAAAAGTAACGAACGAATCACAGCTATGCTGTGTACCAACACGTTGGGAGAGCGATAACCGGTCTTGTTGATCGGGAAATCAGGCAACCCCCGAAATTTTGAAAACATCAACGTGAACAAATTATCGGTAATTTACAAGAATAATGAAAAGGCGTGGATGGCTGCAGTTATTTCCCATGGTTTGCCTAAATGCTTTGCATCGAAAAAGCGCAACATCATCTTGTTTGTTCGAATTTTTACTTGTCATCCCGAAATCCAGATAAAAGGTGTAAAACTGTTGAAACAAATTGTTTGTGTTCGCATCTTAAAGTGCAGTACACATGGGCAATCGTTGATGAATTGTGTCCTGTATGCATGAGCCTGTTCAAGGGACTACGTTTGTCGGTCCCTTGAATGTCCGCCTTAAACTGGTTTGACTGTATTACGTGCATTTTTATGTTAGCTACGCACGCCATGGTTGTTGGTTCGCCTCCAAACTGCAAAGATCCTCGCTGAAAAACTAAATTGATCTTTTTTTATCTCACCTTTCCTCCCTTAGTTTGTATTCTGCCAAGTCTGGCCGCATTGGTGCGTTACCCACCGGTAGGCGATGGATGGATAGATTACTGGTTTGAATCTGACGGTACGCTTCCTTGACGGTGGATGAATGCTCATCGGCTCGTAGGCAATAACTACTAGACTAGGTTTATGATCGTGCGCTGCCCGTTCGACCGCTTCATGCTAGAGCGACCAGATTTATGCTCAATCTGCTTTGTGACCCATTAATGTGTTCAGCCTCCTGGGTAACACATTACTGCAGTCCTGCACCAATACTTTATTGTTACACAACTGGGCAGGGGGAAAAGCATATGAACTGAGTGTTTTCTGGCGCAGGTTAACCGCCTTCTCGTAATCCGAATGTCCTGAATTACTTGAATGGTCATTCATTTGGCTATGCTGATGCACTCGAAGCAGCATGGCGTTAGATGTGCGTAACCGAATGCGTCTTTATGGATGGAACGATGGCATTTCTTAGACTCGTTGGTCACTGTTGTTGTCTTTGTGTTTAAGCTTCTTCCGAATGAGATCACCCGCCTAATTATGCACTTGTCTTAGTCCTGTTCCAAGGAAAAAAATGGTCAGTGCTCCATTGTGCCTGCTGTTGTGTTGTCTCCTCTGTCGCTTCACATAGCAACGTCTACTGGTCGCTTGACCTCACTTCGGAGTTCTTTGTCAGTACTAATTCTTGCTAAATAACAAGTTGATTATTCCAATGAAAAGGTGTCCCAACGTAAAGGTCATCATTCTAACACACTACTGTAGACCAGTTTCCAGTAGGCACGGCAGCCACTCAGCAACACTGTACAAAATAGGCTGCACACAGTGCGGTATTCAGGATCCTTGGGAGTGCAGCGGTATCACCTGTTTCGTGTTCCAAGCTGAATACTGTATGTGAGAGCAATGAGAAATTTAAATCTGCACAAGACCATCATAGCATAAACACAAAGGTTGTAAAAAGTATCTGCAATCCGTGATAAATGCCAAGTTGTTGTGTAACATGTTAAGATACCGACTTACATTTTCACTGGGTTCACAAATCTAAAATGTCGTTGGTAGTGTGCAGTCGTTCTCTGAATCGAATGATGATGAAACGTGAATCCAACAACGTTTGGTACTGATGCGCATAGTTGGACTCCACGACTTCTTCTGACAGACTGTTCCAAACATTTCCCACTCTCCGTTCGCAGCGTGAATTATCAGCCAAATGTGATTCGCTTGGCATCTAATGATATCCATGAGCTCCCGGTGAAGTCTGCCTCAGCGCCTGTGCGAATGATACGATATAGGCTAATGCATAGCTCTTCATTGAACAGTCCTGCGCGACTGGCCCCGATAACTAGTGCTTATTGCCAACGATGGGGCTACATCAATTTACCCATTTCGCTATCCTAGCTTACCAGTTTCACAATGCTTATGTCTCTGGGAGGCTAATGTGGAACTGTAGAACGATTTTCAGGTAACCTGAAGGCAACAGTCCCATGTTGACTTATTATTGTCTATACCATGCATGTTCGCGTATGACGCCATTAGTTTATCTTCCGTTTCGCATTTGCATGTTTGACGGGGGTTGTGAGGACAATTAAGTTGAACACGGTTCAAATTGTTACGCTCCAGTTCGCAACGATATGTAACAAACAGGGCGTCGTTACTGGGGGATTTGGGCCCATTATTCTTTTCCTATGACTAGCAGCTGTCGTTGGCCATCAAACGGCTAACCAGGCCCAATTCGGTGCGCTTGGTGTGCCACTCAATACAAAAGAATTGACGCTTCACGTTAAATAGTCAAACCTGTCTAAGGCGGACATTTAAGGAACCGACAAAACGTAGTCCCCATGAACAGGTTCAAGCATATGGAACACAACTCGTCATCCATTGGACATGTGCAGTACACGTTAAGACGCGAACACAGGGAAGTAGTACAATCTGTTTTAGCTTTCTTATGAAGGCAACAATAGTAGCGTAGTTTACTGTGGGATAGATGGGTAATAAAAAGGTAACAAGGTTACAGTTTATGAGTAAATATTTAAAGACTGACCTGCGAATCAAGGTAAACCGCAAGTTTTAGAAAAATCATGCACACATACTTTTCCATTATCCATATAGTGTTTTACCAGATGAAAAATATCTAGTATAGAAGTCTGTTGTTTGGTAGTTGAAATAAAAGATGGATTTGGTCTTTCCTCACGTTCATGATAAGTTCAAGTAGTGCGTCTGTTATTTATTGCGTATGAGCGCACCATGTGTGTCCGTGGAATCTTGTTCACGCTCGTCGTTTGATACACTACTCACATACTCAGCTGCTAAAATTGAAGTGGCAGAGAGGTCCCAATTTATTTCCGTTGTGTTACAAGTTTAGAGATTAGAATCAACCGTGGATTGGTATCCAAACAATTCCTTGAAAAGATTAACCAGTAGCGTAGGTACAATTGGCCCGTCTGCCTCAGATCCAGTTTGCACTGTTGTTTCAGAATCTGTCTACAGTACAAGGAGGCGCTGCTTTACAAAACCACTTAGATTGTTACGTTCTAAGCCTACTTCCATGCGGCAACGATCCAGCACACGGCGTCCAACAAATTTACGCGTTTCATGCGTTCAGTCATGGACATATCTTCGTGTGATTCCATAATTGTAATAAGATATAGAAGCTGTCAATTCCGTAACTTTTATTTTAATGCCTGGATGACACCCTGGTCGAGGCATTGTAACGCAATTGTATTAGCTAGCAGGAATGGCAGTTTGACATACTTTACCTGGATTTCGGGATGACAAGTGGTATTCGAAAAAACAAAACGATGTTGCGCTTTTCTGATGCATCTATCTGTCAAGGCGTTTAAGCAAACCATGGGAAATAACTGCAGTCATCCACGCCTTTTCATTATTCTTGTAAATTACCGATAATTTGTTCACGTTGATGTTTTCAAAATTTCGGGGGTTGCCTGATTTCCCGATCAACAAGACCGGTTATCGCTCTCCCAACGTGTTGGTACACAGCATAGCTGTGATTCGCTCGTTACTTTTTTACACCTAAGCACTTTCCTTCACTGACAGAAATATTTGCTCCGAGGTCGCTCTGATTAAGTTTCATTTAAATTAGAAAATGCATTGAGCTGCGGAACCAGAACATATTTCGGGTGATTTTGCTGTCTAGTCTGAGGTAACACACATATCTAGATGACGGCTTTGTCATATAGCTTACCAAACACAAAGTTGTGCCTATTGATGAAATCCTGCATTTAACCGTTTGATGCATTAATTTCTGAGCTCTTCAATTCCGGTGCAGTGTGCAAAATTAGTTCTTGACTCATTGATCCAGAATATGAGATTTTTCTTGCAACTGTATACGAACACCAGTTCCAAGAAATTGTGTTTATGTCTGCATTTCTCGTTCTGCTGCTAACTTTTTATTCAGTCCCGATGAGTAATCATTTAAAAACTAGGCCTTTCACTCTAAATTTTGAAAGAATTGTCTTTCCTACTGTGAAAGGTTTTCCCTATGCCCGCGAACACTTCTTTCTTGACTTTGTCGAAGCACTGATTTTCTTTCTTCAAGTGTTAATGCCTTTATGCATGTAATTTTGGAACCAGTCATTTTGTACGTTGTCAGATTCTTCAACTAGAAAATTTTCTAAAGACAGAGAATGCTGCAGTTTCTATTTATCTCCTTGATTTATGCGTACCAAATACTCACATGGCTAGACAACGGCACACAGTTTCTTCGTAGTATCGGGGAGGTACCGATAACGTGTGTTTTCGTGGACAAATCACAGACAATAGATACCTATTTACTCGCGCAGAGAGGTAATTTACCAATGCGCTGCTACCCAGACAAGATAAGCAGAACTAGCGGCCAATTATGACACCTCGAGACGAAATCTAAACCATTTATGTGATACTTTCATGACGCCTCAAGACGGAATCTCAGCCAACCGTGCTATTGGTGGTCGCCGTTTACAAATGCTAGAATGTCTGGGAATCACTGAAACGTGATCGTGGTTGCGTTGTACAGGCGGACGAGATAAACAGGTTAGGATTAATGAACATATATAGGAAAACAGGTTAAACTGCATTAGTAGTAGAGTAAAGGGAATGCGTAAAAAAGAAAAGCGCCGGTCGAAGAAGTCATGGGCTAAAGATAAGGAACTTGATGTTGGAGTGCCATTGGCTTTTGATTGTATTACATCTGGTAGAGTAGTTACCCTCTGACCTAGCAGTTCCCAATGTTCTTAAGCAAGAAATGACAAGTTAAAATCAATTTAGCTGTTCTGTGAGTTTCTTCAAACATTTTGCCAGGTCCCTGATAAACCACATCAGGATTTTAACGATATGGGTGTAGCGCTGGAGAACGACACACGGTGATGCCGTCAGTAGGTGGAGTTTACCAGATCGAGTCAACGAGGGTGATTCCAGTGTAACAGGCTCTCCACGAAGGTGCAGGAGAGCATGCTGCCAAACGCTGGGTGATAATCAGACGAACCAGGTATAAAAACACTGCAGCCAACAGTCATTCAAAACGAGTTATTCTCTCAGCGCGCAGAAATCAGAGCACTAAACATTAAGAACAATGATTGCATTACAGACCCATGACCTTTCCTTCTAACAATCTTTTGATGCTCTGGCAGTTGCGTAGGATAATAAACGGCGCCCTATCTGCTGCATCGAGCAGAGTGGATGGGTTTGGATGCTAATGCTCATGGCTTTCCGCCTTCTTATTTCCCACTTGCGCTATTTCAACCTTAGGATCCCGTTCCAACTTCAATTCGTCTCCCCGTTTTCATTCCCCAAATTCTTGGCCCTCCCCCACCTTGCTTGAATAATCCCTTGTCTTCCAGCTTCAACGCACAAAATCGTCGGGCGTCGCTCCAGTCCAGTCGACAAGTCCATGTTCAACCAAACGGACGTCAGTTAATCCGTTTCCCTTTGGAGTCCTTGATCGTCGGAAGACTGGCATGCCTCAACGTGCGCAATTTATGGCAAACTGTCGCCGCCCTTTAATATCTCAGCCGTGCGAAACAAGGTTGCCCGCTGTCACTTTTCCTCTTAACTTCACTATTGATGGAAACAGTGTTTCCAGGACACGACATGGAAGGGGTGGAGCTAATTCCTGGTAAACGACTTCTTGACTTGGAGTATGCGGACGACATTGTCCTCATATGTGACAGCGCCCAAACGTGACAGGCTGCACTGGACCGATTAGCACCGGCTGTCCATCGTTTTAGGCTATGCTTTGCTCCATCAAAATGCAAAGTTCTTCTCCAAGATTGGCAGGGACCCAACCCTACGCTAACGCTTGGTGGTGATCTGCTAGAAGTCGTTTAGATATGCAAGTACCTGGGCAGCTACATTAGCGCCCGTGGGATCGAAGCTGACATTAAGAATCTTAGAGCAAAAGCTCGAGGTGGTTTTGCCAATCTCCGCCACCTGTGGCGCAGACGCGACATCACTCTCACTCTGAAGGGTAGAGTGTATAATGCAGCCGCCCGTTCAAGCCTCTTATACGGTTGTGAAACCTGGCAAATCAAATCGACATACATAAAGAGGCTCATCACATTCGATCACCGCTGCCTTCGCAGCTTAGCGCATCTCTTGTGAGAGCACCACGTAAGTAATGGGCATGTTCGGTGTCGCGTACTTGGTGCAAGGAGAGCGAGTGAGCCGCTCAGCACCATTATATCACACACCAGGCTCCTATAGCTGGGCCACGTGTTGCGCATGGCAGCACACAGAATCCCGCGACGTGCATTGTTTGCGCGTTGTGGGTGCGTTTGGAAGAGGAGGAGGGGAGGCCAAGCGATGACTTGATCGAGAGAAATGAAAACCCTCACCTCGGAGCTGGCGTCGGTTGGTGCATTCCGACTGCTTGACTGGGGTCCTAAGAACGATGAACACGTTTAGTTGGACACACTTGTTGATATGGCTAGGAGCCGGCCCCAATGGCGTTTGTGTTGTGCGTTCCGTTGTCCATCCTCCTCCCGCTTAGCCTCCCCCTCCAATCACAATCTCATCCGTTAGGCGTAATATAACTCTTTTTGCGGTACGACAGCCGGCTTTTAGCTCTCCGGAACGATGTCCATCCGTTAGTGGGGACTCAGCCGGCGTGCCTCTCTTGTTTTTTCTTTTTGTCTTTTGTATTGCGACAAAATAACTGAGGTGTTTTCCACCTGCATGTAAGGTGTAGAATGATTATGATGATTATAGACCCTGAGCATAACTATTAGGCTGTCTCCATGGGTGACTGAGGTATGAAATGCCACAGGAGCCTTAGCAATGCGGGCGGTAAACTTTGCGATGATATAGCTACAAGTATCATAAAGCAACCTAAATAAGTAGACAGACTGACTATTTTGCACGGTACTTCCATAAGCAGGAAAACGGGTGCACGCCAGCCCAATATAACAGTGTGATTTTGTAGGCGTAAAACACATGCCAAAGCCCAAAGCGCTACGTAACGGCCTATTCACTGAGCTAGCATAAGAGCTCAACTCGATCCAAAGAGTGCTGTCATACGCACATTCCAATTTCCCTAGCCCAGCAATTAGCAGAAAATCTACGTTAAAAGAATTGGAAGGAAGCAGGAGATAAGCATCCACGAGTGTTTTGCTTATAATCAGACGAGAGGGGGAAAGCTAAAACAATCGAGACATAATCCACTTGTCGCCGGGAACTCGTAGATCCTCGAACAGTCACGGGAGACGGGGAATAGAAGTTCTAGGACAGAGAGAGACTGTTTTCATGCGCCAAATTCGGAAGTGAGAACAAATATAGGCGAAGTCGCAGGTTTGAAGAATTACTTAGAAGCAACGCTAACCAGATCATAATCCCTAAGGATGGGGTTAATAGACAACGGGAAAAGTGAGCGATTTATGTTCCACGCATACAGTGGCCTTGGATTAGAGGTGCAGAGATGGGGATGAACGAAGTCTCCAGGTTTCCAGACAACGCCCAATCGAATAACTAGGTGCCTCCGCACTGTCTCACATTCTCAGCTTATGACATGCATAGTAGTTGGCGCTCCGAGACAAAGGGAGAAGTGCGACAAAAATAACAGCTGCGAGACTAAAGAACCTAGGTCGCCATACATCAAAAAAGCATGGAATAGTGCTCTGATTTGGATGTAAGCATGAAGCGCCTTCATATTTATGCTATCCCAATCAAATCACTCATGAGAACGAGGTAACAAGAAAACAAGGAAGTACCAGTAACGGTTTGATCTTCGCGGCCACTCTCAGTGGGCGTTGTGGAATCGACATCTGGTACTTTACGCTCATCCACAATGTCGCACTGCCCATTATTAACGGGACATATAGGCGAGAGTTGCATCTCGGCATTTTCATTGGCCTGAGGCTCAGCCACGACAGAGGCGATAATGGAAGATTGGGGTAGAGAGGACGTCGCGACTCCAGTTGGGTTGACAACTGAGTCAATGGGAGGAGTTGAGTGTGACGAAGTGAGAGGATGTAGTGATGAAGAAGCCACAAGTGACGGAGAGACAGGTAGCTGGAAGGGAAATGAACAAGTTATGGTGAGGACGCTGTGCGGATAGTTAGCACAGGAGGACAAACATCCGTTGTGTCAAAGCTAACAACCAGAGTTTGTAGTCCGATACATGCAAACCAGTGGAACAAACACATTGTGTTGTCATACAGGTTGCTTACTGGAGGCCAAGGGTGGCGTGGTGGATGCTCAGAACTGGAAGACGAAGAACGCGCATCTAGAGTGCGCGTCGGGAAGACCTGTTCCAAAAGACGCTTTCCACGCTGAAACGAAATTAAGAGGAAAGAGGAATCAGTATACCTAACTGAAAGCACTCAGAGGCCATATGGATCAGAAGACGATGATAAATGTCTGTGTGCACAGCGACATTAGAAAAGGACCTTTACTTATTAAATTGGAGCCGATTAATTTGTCAACGCCACATGCTACACCCACTCAGCATATGCTACTGGCTGTGAATGTGGCCAATAGGACAATGAGGTAACCAGTCGGCTGGCATGAAAGAAGAAGGTAGAAAACGCTGTAGAATACGCTGTTCGTACAAGACAGTATTGTTTTCATGGATGTGAAATGCATGAAACAGCACGGTGCGGAGCCTAGTGATGCTCCAGTGGTTCAAGCCGTCGTTCCGTCTAAACTTTCCATCACTTTCTGAGGACTCGGATGAAGTTTTCGTCTAATTCGTCCCCTGAAGAAATGTCAGCATCATTAGAATAGTGAAACAACTCAAAACAACCAGTTAAGTAGCGCCTCGATGAGGTGAGGACGCTACCATAACAAGAGTATCAACCACAACTTAGGCTGCATGGAACAATGGATTGCAGGCTTCCGGTCGTCTCAAGTGACATAGATAAAGAAAACTAGCCGAAACTACGGAGATCGAACTGATAATCATCAAAACATTCAATAATCCCATAGTAAAAAGCGGGGTATATCTGGTTACTGAAGATGGAAAAAGTAGTCAGCTAAGTAGTGCAAAATTATGTGGATGAGACTGAGTGCCAAGCTATCGAAACAATCTGGTGGGGCGGCAAATCACAAAGAGCGTCTCTGAGTGTAAATCGATAAAATGTTCGCTTTTGTGGGTTAGCAAGGATAAACTTATCAGTTCCGCGAGCAGAACGAGTTAGTAGGAGACTAAATTCACCAAGAGTAATAAGGCAAAGTGGGGAGTAACGGAGTGGTCAGCCGTTACCCTGTTATTGGTGAGTTGTGAAACCTGAAGGGAGGGGATGTGGGATTACTGATAATACAAAGAAAAGATGCAAGATGTAAATTCTAATGACCGTGAACTTCGGTGTAGGCATGATCTGAAGTCGTGGAAGCCAGGTGGTACTGCAGTTAGTGTCGCGGACTGAAAGGTGTATGGCGCGTCCCAAGGGTTAGTATACACTGATCTCCGCTCAAGGTTAAGTAACCCAATGTTTTGCGACTCAAGAGTCGAAAAAAGCCATAAGTGGGGAACAAGGGATAAGCTTCCCTTTTCGGAAAGATCGACTAGAAAGACACTTGCCGACGGGATGGATGTGACCCATGGCTATCGAAGTTTTGCGGTATTTTTTCTGAATGGGCTAACGGAGCTCAGTGTAATTAGGAATTGCTTTTTACTCGAGCTGCTACATGATGTCTTTTTACCCTACATACAAATATTGTAGAAAAGAAAATTGGTAACAAGGCAATGGTAATAGAGTGCGTACTTAAGGTGCTTATGGGCGTATGTGGAGTCCAAACTATATGCCCACAGCATTCATGGGCCTAACTCGATTGGTTGCCAACCAGAGCATCCAGTTGTTGGATGCACCACAGTCTCACCGGTAATCGACCGATGGTCGAATAAGACAAAACGTATTCAATGTAATGTAAAGGTTATGATTAGAGTCTGCGCAAGTGCGGGCGCCTTCGAAGTATCCCTAGCCTGTCCGCGACTGGTATCGGTCAAGTGGCAGAGAAGAATCGGTAGAGTGTACTGCGGAAGTTCATTTACTTTTTTTAATATTCTCTAAAACACTACATATAATAGCATCATTGATATACGCATCGGGTCCATCCAAAGCCATGCACTCTAAAAACTCGGTAACCGAGTGGGACTGAAAGCAAGGTGCCGACGATGGTCCAATGGGATGACTAAGGTATGCGACCGCTGGCCGTTCGATAAACGTGGTTAGTGAACATAATCACCCTAGGTGAATGGATTTGAAAGAATCTTGCGTCGATAGGGCAAAGACAACAATCCGTAATCAGTTCTACAAAACAATGCACTTAAGGTCGCATCTCAGAATGTCCGCGTAAGCAAATCAAATAGAAGGGAAATACTGCGCCTTTGACAAAGTTCGCTGCGATAGGATTAAGTTAGGTATCATCACACATCCATGAAAGCGCTACACGACAGTTTCGCCATATAGCGACAGACCAGCTGCGCCTATGGGTTAGATTTGGTCGAATACGATCCCATGACATTACTCGTGCGAACTGTCCCGGAGCTATGGGATAGAGGCAGCAAACCGCCGTGACTGATTACTGGCTGTAAAATTACGCGCTTTACCCTCTGCTATCATGCAGTTCGGTTAAGATCGGTAAAACAACTAAGATACTGTTAATGAAATGTTTAGGATATTATAGAAGAGTAGTAGGGAGAGTTGAATGGTATAGGTAGAATTTCGTCACATCTAGGCTCACTCAGACAGCCGCCACACGCCCGGAAAAGCACTGTACGCGCGTTTCATCCTTTCGGGAATCATCAGCAGTGCGGACCCCTGGTAGGGCTCGAACCCGCAACTCGACTGTTGCCAGTCCGCGGTTGAGACCACTGAGCTAAGGGGGACGGCAACGACCGTCGTGAATAAGTTACTAGATGTGATATAGCGCCGCTCACTATCCACTGACTTACACGTTACTGCCGTGCAGAGGACAGGGTAGCTCCCTCACCAAGCGACGAGCTTACCAAACTTAAGCCGCCAATTAACTTATGGCATTATAAGCAGTTTGGTCTGCGTACTGATTATAGGAGTAGTAGGGAGAGTTGAATGGTATAAGTAGAATTTCGTCACATCTAGGCTCACTCAGATATTAACAGAGATACAAGTAACAGAAAGAGAGGAGTGATTGACTGCGCTATTGTGTCGTGTCCGATAGTGTCTCTAATCACTGATGTGACGAATGTCTGTTGTGAACGGGTAGATGACAGGGTTGGCTCTCATAGCCATGACTTCCTTTCGGGGTGGCATAAAAGCCGGTAGGCCGGCAGGCTGATAACTGAGTGTGCAAGTGCTCGATTGATGACGCTGGTAAAAGAAGTTAAACAGACCAAGACCAGTTACGTGCTAACAGCGGCTTCATTAGCCCAGTCGGCCTAGGATACGCAGCACCAAGTATGGTAATAACAGCTTTGGACAAAGTGGTTGCATGTATAACCGTGCGTTAGCTCCGAAAATGCATCCGTTCTGACCAAGAATCTGAGGGGGACAATGACTCCACAAATCAATGGAAGAAAAAAGCAACCAGGAACGAAGATGAGATACTCCTGAGTAAGGGATTTTTGATGTAATTAAGAGTTCGTTGCACCAGCTTCCAAAGCAGATAGTCCTCACATGTCAGAAAAAGCACTAGATTGCGGTTTCAATCTGTTGGATAGCATCAGTAATGAGCGTCCACCAGAGCCAACAGGATTTGAACTCATGACCACCGTCGAATTGCAGCAGCTTATGCCACTGAGCCACGGTGGCGGACAGCTTTGAACCGTTATGATTTACAAGCTAACTGCGATGAGGCGAAAAGATGCTTCGATCCGAACTTGTTCAGTGGTTAGCAGAGCAAAGCAATTCTAAATTCAGTGGAAATGTCTTAAGTATTAGGTTGGAACTGCACTTAAGAAGTCAGAGACCAGATATATAGTCAGATACCTGGTTACCGAGGCAGGCATCAACAGTACGCCAGCACGCAGTACCAACGTTTCGATGCTGTGCAACCACCATCAGTCCCATGTGGGCTAAGGATATTGCGGTCGACCGGTTCCCACCCAGACTCGAACCCGCGAATTCAGGTGACAAAGCAGGCTTGTGAACCTCAAGGAGACGGTTTCCGAAGCTTCATAAATCTTATTAACTGATGCGACGGGACATCCACACACAGATGAGGTAGGAACGACAGGTAAAGATACAAAACGGAGCTGCCGTACCAAGCGGTGGCTGAAGGTGAATAAACGAAGAAGAAGCAGAAGCCGACAGACGCCGTGTGTGGGATCAATGAACGCAAATTAACACGAAAGTCGCAGAAGCCAATGTTGGCAGACAACCATTCCCCGATTCTTCAATAAAACACTGAACGTTGTCCAGAATTTCATTCGATTCTCGGAGGGCACTACACGACAGTCGGTTACTGCTAATAACTGCAACCAGCCTGACTTCCTAAGCACTTTGGCTATCACGCTTCGCTTTCTTCTAGCTATGAGTTCTTTTATTTTCTCCGTAGGGAGAATGTGTGAAGTGCATTACACACAAACAAAGCTTAGTGAAAGAGTATTAAACAAAAAGGGAGTAGTCGCCAGTGGCATCAGACTTCCGAGAACTATGAGCAGTGTGCTTTTACTGGGCATGAAGATGGGCTCAAAACTTAAGTTCAAGTAGACAGGACAGCCGGATACACAGCGTAGGAGTCAACAACAAAGCGATTTCTAGACTTGAAAAAGCAACGCAGGTTAACGACTAAAACTGAACAAACTGGACTGAATGCATTGAGAAGATAGCGCCAAGCAACACAAGGAAGCCAGTTGAAAAGAGGAGATAGCATAAAACGACGGTCTGTTGCATTCGTTGTGCCCTCGACCATTTTGCAATCGCAGTTTCCACCAACAGCGAAATAACGGGACGTCAAATATCCGAGAAAGCTGGTAGTTAGAACAAGATGGATCACCTGGCGTTGCGTTCGCGGTATGAACAGGTCTGAACTCGATGAAGATGTTCGAGCGTTCGATATCAGAAATGGCTTGGTGTTCGTCAAAGTTGTGGTAATAGCCGAATCAGAAGACACGGTTTCTGAAGTCCGCATCTTTCCGCGAGTACCGGTACTCTTTGCGAGAAATAAAGAAAAAAGAAAAGTAAGAGTAGAGTGCAATGAAGGACAAAAGGGCAAAGCAATTCATTAAAACCATAGGAAAGAAGATGAAAATGGGGAATAGGAATGCTTATCACCGTCCGTGTAGTCAATGATTATTAGTTGGCCACATAAGGCAGAATCCATACTACAGCAGGAATCGATAACAGAGGATCGAAATTGCTGAGCGGATCAAATAGAAAAATATGTGGGAGGCAGTGAAGAGGGAGGACAAGCCTGATACACTTTATAACTGAAAGCTAGTAATACAATGCTCTTTCAACTTCAATATTTCAGAGCTGTTCGAATATCAAAGAACTTGGACCAAACGGTCCATGTCTAACACATGCCATGAAATCCATTCAACCTCTGACAAAGTCGAACATTTCAAAATCCCTATTCTTCTCATCCTTCAGTACTACATCATCAGTTAAGGAAACATGCAGATGGGTGACAGAAGATCTGGGAAACCTGTAAACGTTTTTTTCAATAAAGCATCTAGTTTGAGCTGTCAGGAGCGGTACCAGAAGCTTCATCTTAAAGTCTCTTTGGGTGCGACGACCGAAACATGCTCAGGCACAATCACATGAAGCAAACCTTATACTCCAATTCGTGCATAATGAAACACAACTTCATTCAGAGGCCTCTCAACAAGACTTGCAAACTAATAGCGCAAGGAACCAGGATAGCTATTCGGCCAGACTTCTTATCCCTCAGCGACGTTGCCCTATGGAATAGCCTAACAGCCACTAACAGGTCTTGTACAAATGTGAGAACATTTCGTCCTAAAGTTAGAGGATTCTTGAACTAATACTCGATAATGACCATGTTTCCGTCGAGCAAATCACTAAGTGAGTTCTTCCAAGATGGACAAAGGAATATATAGCCAGTTGGAAAATCTGTTACACGAAACCCAGCACCAATCGAAGCAATGTATTTCAGAATGCCTCAATAGCACAAACCCTAATGAATAAATTCATCACTCCTGGATGAGCACGATCATTTTGTACTGGTGATCCGTCCCTATTCTGGGGACAGCCCCTCGCCTAACCGAAAAATATTATTATTATTATGATTATTATTATTGCTATTCCTAATCGTGTTTTTAAGTGGACTCAAATTGCCCATGAGTTAGAACAGCATCGTTCATTATCATGCGTTTTTCCAGATTCCTCTAGTTCAATATACCCCAACATTCCTGATCCTGCAGCATCTTTGGCGACCGAATGCAGTTTTTCTCCGTCTGAAAGGCCGTGTTTACAAGGCCACAGTGCGGACCGTCATGCTCTATGGGGTTGGGACTTGGCCCCTTCGGTCTGATGATCTGAGGCGCCTTAAAATCTTTGATCATCGTTGTCTGCGGAGCTGATGTCGAGTGGCACCAGCGTGTCCGCAACAATGATGCGCATAGGCGAGTACTAGGCAGTGATAAGTAAGCTATTTCCTTAGAACAACAGAGAGCAATGAGTGTTGAGTTGACATGCGCACGTACTACGTATGTCTGGTCACCGCAGCGGGAAATGAAGTCACTGATGACCCAACTCGGTGCCGTCGGTCCATCTCGCCTTCCAGGCTAGAGTCCACGTGGTCCGCCTTATGCTTGGCTCGAGAATTTATAGCAAATGGCTCGCAGTCGTCACCAGTGGTGCGTCTGCTGCCGTCTCATAGTCGGACTGTCAGTTGAACGTGTGTTTGGTGCTAAGTTATCTGCGGAGTAATGGTTGATTACGAAGCGGGGCAGGGAAAGCTGCAAGGAAGCTGTCTCGCTGATGTTGTCTTAACTTTGCACGATAGCCAGCTCTGTTTGCGACGACATGCTGTTAACATACGGTGTAGGCGCCTTGACCCTGAATATTTGCTTAGGGCATTAAAGTTTTACGGTATGTCTTCATGCTCTCTTCTTCGTTCCTTAGGTCGTCATAGTTGTCTGGCAGCAAATCATCAGTTTCAATGGCTCTTGTATTGGTGTTCTTGATGACGATGTCATTCCTGATCGGCGCTGAGGCTCCTAGTGGATCGCGTTTTCGAGTTATTGAGGACAATATCAAAACGACCACCAAAAGAAGTCGATTTGATGTTTCAGGTGGACCATGGGATACGCTGAGATTCATCGAGTATTGAGAACAACGATCGGGAGAATAAGTGGTCTACAATAGCAGCTTCGTGACACAATGGAGATGACTGCACCACATACAGCCCATTTTATCAATTATTCAGTTAATACTGACAGTGCAGCTGAGATAGATATAGTTATCGTAAGTTGCAAAACACTAAGAATCAGGTATCCCATTGACGAGAGATTCTGTTCAAAACAGAGGTGGGTGATAAGCGATGGCCGACATTTGAAAAGTCACAAGCCAAAAAAGCTAAAAGCAGTACGGACGCTTCGTGGCCACGCAACTACCACCAGTCGCGTGTAGGCTAAACATACTGCGAGGATCGCCCAGTGCCATATGCAGCCTGGAACCTACGACATCTAATTTGCGTGATAGACGCTTAGCTCATTCGGCCACGGACCGACAAAAGTCGGGCAATAAACACAATCCAAGGGTGTCACCAAAAAGAAGGTAAATAAGATTTAGATTAAATGCAGTGACATATCTGGCCATTGTTGCTCAGCATTAATAAGATTGTGTAGCAAGCATAGCCAGCCTTAGGGAATACATACTGATGCCAAAATGATGCGGAAAATAATTCGAAACAATGGAACACATTACCTGCCCTAGACACTTGCAGGATGATAAAGACAGATGCCAACACAGAAAAATCTCGTCTTTCAAACGCTGTCAACTGGTATTCATTTAAGAGCTCTGAGCAGGAAGCTTGGTATGTAAGACCCATCCACGACCGATGTGCACAATGAGCGGACATACTTTCCATTCGATCTGACCAGTCAACTGAGGCTCAGATACGTACACTCATGCTAAAATCATACAACGGAATGGTTTAATATCAACGAAGTTCTAAGTTCGTCTTTAAAAGTACTCTGGAAATAGGCAAGCGCCCGTGAGTGTGGGGTTTCAGGAAGTTGGCTTAAAATCCCCACATCAAGGATTCGAATCATCAATCCGTCTTGAGTCTGGTTACCATGAAGTATGGTTGGCGGCATCCGGTTTCGGATTTGCCTGTCACTGTGGCCAGACATAGGACCCTTGCACCTACAAAGTAACCACGGGTGGCTTGCGCTGCGCCACCCATGACTGCATCCACACATCCCATATCCAGTATAAACCCGAAGGAATAAGACCGGGAGGCATGTGGATGGGAGCCACGTTTCATCAACGGAGCCGGCTCACACTCCTTCACAGGCAAACACAAGCACGCTGTATTTGGGAATCAAGCGCACACAAGGCGGTGGTTGAAACGTAGTCCGCTCCACACTGAGTGTATGGAACCGCTTTTCGAGTCTAGCACGGCCACAAGGACGGTGCACTCCGTCCCCTAAAGCAACGACCAACTGTCTCCTGGAGCCAGTATGGGCGAGGTAGTGGGTAATAGACAGATAGGCACCTTGTCAACATGCACATCAAGCGCAGTCACATAGGGGTGTCAAACAACAACCAATCACTTGAAACGACAAGAGGAAAGAAAATAAATCCAATAATGCATACAGATACGGTGGCATAACTCTTCGCTAAATTAGCAAATGAAGTAAGTTGGTTGGCAACAAATCCACGATAAGCAAAAAATGTCCACAAGTTACTTAAAAATGCCACAAACGCAACAAAGTTACCGAAGATAAGCGCAATTAGCGTAAGCAACGTGGCCAGTTAATAGAAGATTATTCAGGTAGGCAGAACAAACCAAATAAAGTGGAATGAAATCTATCCAGCTTAAATGACCTAGTTTAAGTGTAATTTGGTTTAGCCCAACTGTGATGAAGAAGCATCAAGAATGCAACATTAGCCTCAGCATGAGGCACGCGCCTGAAGAATACCGGACTGAGTACAACAGCTACCCACCAGTGTATCATGGTGAAACATCAGTACATCGCAGTGAAGTACTGCCTTTCGGTCATGACTGTCGAGAGCATGATCGGATTCGCACCGCCTCCACTTTCGTGCGCTTCGAAATTTCGTCTAAATATTCTCATCGGGAAAGTGTACACTAGGGGGTGTCCGAAGTCCGGCCCGCAGACCAAATGCGCCGCGTTAACAACTCACCTCGCCCTGGCCTCATCATGAACGAACAAACTCAAGCTCGGATTTTTCCGTATAGACGACATGATACAGCATATAAAAGTTACGAATATCATGAGCAAAAAAGTCAATGGCGCCAAATCCGGGCAAGAATCAATGGTGTGACATTGTTTACTTTAAGCTAACAAAAGAGAGTTAATCTGGTGATTTTACTAAACAGGTATTAATAAAAAGAAATTAAATAGATGGTTCCGTTACCTTTTATATATATGACTAGCTAAAGCTAGCAGGTTCTGAGAAGGGGATTTTGATTATTACTATTTTATTGTTATTTTAAAGTATTTACTTAAAGTACTTACTTAGATAGAACAGTTTCAGCTTTCTGACTATTTGATACCACAAAAAGGAAAAGTTTTGTACACTTTAGCAACTTTGAAAAATGGATTTTAACTAAACTGAAAAGAATAAACTAGAGGAATTTGTTTACCTATTATTTATATGATTGTCGTTCTTGTTCTAGATTGGAGAATCAGACTAAAGAAGGAATGTTAGTGAAGAACAGCGCCGCCTCCAGGAAAAGTGGAAATTTGAGTAGTTTCTCACTGAACGATTGAGCAAGTGTGCGCTAGATTTGTTTGGAGATTGTTAGCGTTTTCAAAGAATTCAATATCAAGAGGAGCAACCAAACTAAACATGCTAAACGACAAGTTGACTAAAAATTAACGAGTTGAGTAAGTGAAGCAAACGGAAACGGATAATCTCACAGCAAAGCTTGTTTGCAAGAGTCAGTCAGTCGAATGCAAATGCGACAAAGGCAAATTAGGAGGTGAGGAAATT